CACACACACACACACACACACACACACACACACGTCCCCAATCAGTGTAAGCCATGAAGAGCCTTTAAGAGATCCCCAGCTGTAAATCCTGAGCAATTCAGCGAAGCAGCCGATCAACTCTGACACTTACGCTGACGAGCATCTGAGGGAACGGGCCTCGGGAGTTTTCCGCCACATTGATCGGTGGGATCACCCAGTCCCTCTTTTGCCTTCGATGACCCTTGGTGCTGTTGAAGCGGGATCCCGAGAACATGATGACAGGAGGCGGCGCTTGGAACGTCTCCTCTTTTTGCTTCTTCTCTTCTTCTTCAACCTGAAAAACAAGGCGTTATTTATGAGCCTTGGTGTGCAGACACTTCCAACAATATCTACACTGCAAAAACTGTCCATCTTACCAAGTTTTAAAATCTTAAATCCAGGCAAAAAGTCTTTTTGATCTTGTTTTGAGACTGATTTACTAAACAAGAACTGATTGTGTAAGAATAACAATCTTGTTTTCAGAATGTGTAAGATTATTTGTCTTGTTGGTCTGAAAATTTGACTCAAATTAAGTCAAAAATTTCTGCCAATGGAGTAAGAAAATTTTACTTGGTAAGACTCTTGAAATAAGAAAAAATTGAGTCAAATCAAGTATTTCAAGAATCTTACCAAGTAAAATTTTCTTACTCCATTGGCAGAAATATTTAACTTCATTTGAGTCAAGTTTTCAGATTAACAAGACAAATAATCTTACACATTCTGAAAACAAGATTATTATTCTTACACAATCAGTTCTTGTTTGGTAAATTAGTCTCAAAACAAGATCAAAAAGACTTTTTGCAAGTAGGGGTCTCTGCAGAATGTGTTGTCCTGTGGGCGGAGCCGGCCCAAATCGTCATTGGCCGAGGTCTTAATATGGGCGGAGATGGCCCAAGAGGCTGAAGGCAGTGGGGGAGTAGCTTGGTCGAGTCGGGCAGGAAGTAACATTTTGGGGTTTTTTAGATTAATTTTAGTCATAACTTGAGAAAGCAAAGTGCTAGTTGCACACAATTTGAATGTCTTACATGTGAAAGGGTGTGTAACAATATGGCTCTGTCAAAACATCCCTAGCCAGCCTGTTAAAAAAATATTTTTAGCAATCATTTTACAGGCTGGTTAGGGATGTTTTAACTGAGCCATATTGTTACACATCCTTTCACATGCATGGTGTTCAAATTTTGTGCAGCTAGCACTTTCCTTTCTTATGTTATGACTAAAATTAATCTTGAAAAACGTTGCTTCCTGCCTGACTCGACCAAGCTACTCCCCGCTGCCTCCAGCCTCCTCAAACCCACCATCAATCTGACCAATCACGTCTCTTGGGCCATCTCCGCCCAGATCGAAACCTCTGCCAATCACGAGTAGGGCCATCTCCGCCCACAGGACAAAACCTACCGCAGAGACCTCTTACTCACTTTTTGGCTGGATATAAGATTTTAAAACTTGGTTAGGTGGACATTTTTTGCTGTGTAATATGAAATCCATTTCAATTGCGGGTTAAAGCAGGAGTTCAGATGACAGCTAGAATATCACTTTTAACGAGAATTACTGCTTAAACTTACAGGAGTTTATGAGCCTGAGCCACACTCAGCTGAGACTAGTTTGTGGGATGTGTGGTCGGAAGATAAAATAGCCCACCAGAGTGGAGCTCCACCACATCTTAGAATTGTAATGTAGCTCCCTGAAAAAAAACTAATCTTGACATCTGTTTTCAAGCTCTCAAACTAAATACACAATGTTGGCCTACAAGACTCAGCTTTGCACAGTCATTTACTGTCCCCATACTAAGGGAAGACTTCTTTTAGCAATCAGATGAAATGCTGTGCAAACACTCGTGCAGTAAAACATCACTGTGGGAAAAAAAAGTGAAAATATTCTGAATCAGTTTGGATTAAAAGTGTGGTTTCCTCTTGGGAAATCAAAACATTTTTCCCAACACTTACTATACCCACTTTGACCCCAGTCAACACACATTTTAAATTTGAACAATTCCTATGTGGCATATTCTGAACCATCACTGCAACAGAACAAGTCTTAACAACACCTGTATGGAGAGAGGTGAAGGAGAATGGATGGAAAGGCTGCCTTTTGCGTTTTCTTGGTACATGTTCAACTGAGGTTCTTGCATCAGAAAATATTTATTTGATGTTTAATAAAATCTGTGATGGCATGGTGACCTATCCAGTGTGTACCTCGACTCTCAAATAATCATCACCAGAGACAGAAAATAGCCCCCCAAAACCCTGCATGGAAATAACTGTATATTTATTGATATTTAAATCCTTTGGTTGAGTCAGAACCTTTAGTTTTTTTATTAGATATTGGTAAAATAATCTATAGTAAAAGTGAAAAATGCATGGTCATTCCTTGCAAGCGACAGATCAAGCATTCCACAAATTATTTGTTTCATTCATTCATTCATCCGTTCATTCGTTAATGAAACAAAAGACCCAATTGTCAATTTAAAATTAAGATTTATCCACTATATAAAAAGTAAAAAAAAAACTGTTTAGCACAATTACAATTACAGAGCTAATACTTTAAATTTAATAACACTATCAAAATAATTTACAATATAATTAAAATACACGTGATTGGATTCTCAGTAACAGAATCGATAAAATATTTCAACATTTGAAAGAGTTAAATTTACTGTCTGTATTATGTCATAGGTGCATTTTGCACAACACAACCTCAGAAAAAAGCCCAAGCTTATGTTATGTGTTGTGTCTGTATACGGGTGCGAAAAAGACCATAAACTTCACATTTTGTCATTTATGGTGGATATAAAAAGCCTATTAACAGAGAGCAAGTCTGATGTTGGATTTAAAGCCTCTTCTAGCAGACAATGTCAGCTGAGTCACAGAAGCACACTTCAATCATACAGCGTGTTCACATCACACACTTCCCTCACACACTCCCTGTGGTCCAGCTGAAAAGTCCACCGCAAACCCATCTGTTTGAAAGATGTTCAAAAGAAGAACAGGAACAGTCAATCACTTTGTGAACGTTGACTCATCCGTGAGTCAGTACAGCTACATCAAATGTGAAACAATAAAGACTACAGCTTCGAGAAAGTTAATGCCCTCTTGTAAAACGACGGCAAAACAGCGAGTGAAACATTATAAAAATGCTTTATGCCTTAGCAGTACTTATCGCACAAAGTATAAAGAATCAAGTATCTTTCTATAAATGTTCAAGTTTTTCCCACACAGAAGAGATTTCTATGTTGTAGAACTTCAACAAGCAGCCTTTTTCTACAGCCTGTAGATTGTTCTGGTAAATCTACTTCTTACACTGAAGGTTGGTAAAACATGTCAAACCCTGACACTTAAAATTTAACAAGATACAGTTATAAACAGTATATTGCCAAAGTGTTGCTTTTCCCAGTCACACTGAGCTAACACTTGCTCTCACGCTCCTGCCCTCTTTTCTGCAGTGTTATTGTTTTTTCCCTGTCTCTTCTTCGAGCCAGTAGGTTCTGACAGCTTGTCTCAGCAGCAGTCATTCCTAAAGCACTGGTCAGTGTTGGACCAATGGTGCGCTAACAGGTAAAACAAGCACACAAACATTCCTATCAGCAAGTTTCCAAACATTCACATCTGTGTCATCTTTGCTGGATGATGACCAGTGGGGTTTGGGAGAACCAAAAAAGCCTTGTGAACTATTTTTAACAGTTCTTTAGGCCTAATCTAAATCTTGAGCGCATGGAGCATGAACAGTGTTGCATAAAGTACCACAAATTGATACCTGTGTAAAAGTACAAGTATCTTACCAAAAAGTTACTTTGGTAAAAGTTTGTCTCCTTTAGGAATATTACTTGAGTAAAAGTCTTAAAGAATCTGATATGTTTGGACTTAGGTATTAAAAGTAAAAGAATAGATTTAAAATGAGCCGTTAGATTTTCTGTAATGACATTTATTAGGAGGTGACCTCCCCAAAACTATACAGAAATGACTATATCATATTAAAATGATTAATTTATGTTAAATTTAGGATGCACTAGTCTAACTCTTTCAGTTTATATACATATATCAAGGCTGCCAAAACCTTTTCCCCAAAATGAAAATCTATCTGAGGACTACAACCAAATACAATAATATAATTCATGAAATACAAATACTTCTTAAGTACAGTCCTTTTATTTTAATGATTATGCCCTGCTGGAGTGTGACATGATTTGTTTGTGTACAAACCAATATGCTATCAGAGTTTTATATATTTGTACTTCTCATTCAGCCACAGTTAAATTCACTCTATCTAGGAGGCACAGTTTATATGGATAGTATTTATTTTTTACAATAACAAGCTGGAATAAAAACAAGCAAAATTAAATAAAAGTAATGACTTTCTTGTCTTTTTTTAAAAAATGTAAGAAGTAAAAAAGTACAGATAACTGTATGAAAATGTAAGAAGTAGAAGTGGGAGCATTTTTGCTCCCCCAGCAGTTTTTCTCCCCGTCTCTCACCACAGACCCCCACCCTCTTCAATTACAATTTCATTCATGCAGGGTTCTGGGGAACAGGCTAGCTGCCTAGACCCCACTTTTATTACACATTCTAGACACTCACTATAACATCTTCATGACATTCACATATAGGAACTGTGGGTTGGGGGGCACTCTATGACCACCGATATCTGTGCCCTCCCCCAATAGCTGCATGTAGACACTTAGGGGTTGGGGTGGAGATGGGGTGGGGGGAAAACTGGCATCCCGCCAGCCTCTGCCCCTTCTTCCTCTCCTTTTAACTACACTCATCAATCTGCCGCTGGGTGGTGGCCTGGACTGATGGTGGACTGGGAGTTTGGGTGGGGGGGTTGGGCTTGCGTCCTGGCTTCTCTGGAGCTGCGTGGACTCCCAGGATGTGGCTCCTGGTTGGCGTGGTCGGCCCACTGGCCGGGGTGGTCGCCGGGTTCCGGCGGGTGTCGGCTGGGGGTGTACCCCTGGCCGTTGGCGGTGGTTGGGGGATAGTTGGGGCATGGCCTTGCTGGGGCGGGGGCGGCTGGTCGGGTCGGCGTGGTCCAGGCCGGGACTTGACCATCTGCTCTGCTCCACCCCAGGACAAATGGGTTTACCTTCTGGGTTCGGGTGTGGGCCGCCCTCTGTGGGGGGCGGGGGCATGCCCTGGTCCTGGGGGGTATAGAGTGTGTATCGGGAGTGTGAATGGAGTGTGATGTCTATATGTATGTCTTTGAATGAGTGGATGCGAGGATGAGGGTGGGATTGTATGTGTTTGTGTATGCGTGGGTATGTGTCAGGCTGGGATGTGGACTTCCCCCTCCCCTGGTTCGTTTGTCGCCCCATGCCATACTGCCCTCTGGTGGGGGTGCCTTGCCCGCCGGCGCGTGAATGGCTCATGGGGTCTGGGGCTGGGTGCTCAGGTGTGTGCTGGCTCGGCCTGGTGGCTGCCTGTCGGGGCTTGGGTCCTCTGGTCCTGTCGGCTCTCGGCTTGGTGGGGGGGCACCCTGGGGGCCGGGTCCTCTGTGCCTATGCCCGTTCTTGCCCTAGCGCAGCGGGTGCCGGCGGGGGCCTGCATGCTCGTCGCTGCGGGCTAATTTGCGGCTGCTGCGTGTGGTCGCTGGTAGGGTTCTCCTGGATCTCCCCTATGGTTTGACCTGGGGGTGGGTGTGTGGCTCTCCTCGCATAGGTGTACCCGGGGGCCCGGTGCTTGGGGTCTCTCCTGGGGTCGTTGGCTCTGGCCTCCCCTTATGTCTTCCTCGTGCCTTGGGGGGTCGGCTCTGAGACTCCCCCACAGTCGCTATTATACATTCCGTTGGAGAAATCCTGTAAATTTATGCTTGCTCACAACCGCGGGTGTTTGTTTATCTGTCTAAATATATATATATGTATGCTTTTGCTAAGTTTTGTAACCTTAATTTTTTGCAGGTGTGCAGACAGATGTTGGATGTATTGTATTGTTTTCTTGATGTATATCTCACATATCATCAATTCTTTCTTTCACTTTTTTCCATTACATTGTAACTTTTCTTTCTTTTCCTTTTTTCATTTCTTTCTTCTTCTTTCTTGTCTATCTAAAAACACTGATGATGAAGAAGCTAAGATACTAATTTTTAGATATTTAGTACTGCTTTCTACTGAAATGGTAAAATAAATAAAATAAATAAAAAAAGAAGTAGAAGTAAAAAGTAGGCTGAAAAATAATTACTTAAGTACATTACAGATACCCCAAAATTCTACTTAAGCACAGTAATGAAGTATTTGTACTTAGTTACTTTACAACTCTGAGCATAAACTCAAAAAGTGTGAGTTTTGCGTTAACTAAAATGGTGTGGCTAGTTGTAGATGATTCTTGGCTAGGTGTGTCCTAATAACAGTTTTCATCACACCGATTATGAATACTTCAGTTTGGATACTTACCAATACTGAGTACTTACTGAGTTTGAACCTGAACATTAAACAATGACTTTAAAAACAGTCCGTCTTGATGCATCTCAATAATCCAGGTAGAACAATCTAAAAAAGATTAGTGAGTCCTCTGAACAGGTTCTTTTTTGCTGAAACATTTCATGTTTTCTCCAAGACACTTCTTCAGTTTCCATAAAGAAGATCTGTATGAGTGAAATGCCCATATTTGTGAAAAGCAAGATGCTCGTTATTTATGTTTTAAGTCTGCCTTATGCTTCAGTGAAGTAAGTACGCAGTACTCTGTATCAGCAAGTATCCAAACTGATGTACTCGTATTTAGTTTGTGGAAAAACTGGTGTCAGAACACACCTGAATCATCCTCAACTTTCCAAAACACACAACTTTTATTTAGAACAAGGTGTCTCTCCATCCTTTACGGCCTACAGCCCCTGACTGGATTAAATCAAATATACAGTATGATATATACTGTTGAAACATTTTTAAAATTAATAAAAAATAACAAATAAGATTGTCTTTCAACTGTCTAACGTTCTTAAAAGTGGAACTGCCAAACATTTCACTTGAAATGTAAACCGTAACACATTCAAAAGTGTATTGATACCTGTATTCCAATATTGACACTGGTATTGGCGTAAGTTATGGGCATCAGGGCATTTTGTAAGAATATAAAATGCTGGTACTGCACACCAGTCATGGCTGTTATGCTCCTAAGCTGCTATAAGATGTAGTCACAGAGCTGACTTGGTAAGAAGGTGAGGGGCACTGTGAGAAGCAGTGCAGCTGACACTCATCGCTTCCACAATATTGTCTTTATTTGTGTGAGCAAGATATAATCTGTTTGAGGGGCGCATTGTGAAGGCCCGGTGGGAACAGGTGGTTTGTTGTTGCAGTCATATCATTTCACATAAACTTCAGCACAGAAATTATCCGATACTCTTTCAAGAGACACATGAGAAAAAAAGTCAGATTTACTTGAGATTTACAGTTAGTTCCCCGAAACTCTCTGAATGACGTCAGAGAAAGACAACGTATGAACGTCAAACAGCATTTATTGTAAATGGGCATGGTGATCCACAAAAATACATTTGGTACTGATAGAAAAAAGACATCAACTCATCAAGAAAATGTTCTTCTTTTCCTAATATGTTGACAGCAATGTTAAGTGGTTTTTGCTGCATGATTTTTTACGTGTACTGCCTCCTCCATTTTTTTTCTCATCAGTAAAAAAATAATTCTTCAGAATTTTCTGATGTAAGCTGTTTCTGAGTAGAGACGAAAAAAGTCTGAAAGGAATTCTCCATGTTTTCCAGGAAGTCTCTAATGTTTGTGAAAAATGGTTTTGACATTTTCAGCCCCAGAACTAATCATTACTGGAGCTAAAAGAAGTCACTTGAATGATCCTTAAAACCTAATAAGGGGGGAAAAGTATTGTTTGGAGTTTTAGCTTTTTATATAGTTGATTTTGGAAGGTTAACTAGCACCCTGAATAGGAAGAACTAAAACCAGTGGTGGGCAATAACCCCCTAAAGTGCTTTAGCGCTAATTGTGGACCTAAATTCTGTGTTTGCACTTTATGGCATTTGCTAAAATTTTGGAACTGTGTGCAGATTTGTGCTATTGATCATCATTATCTTTAACAGCCGAGGAAGAAAGCTGTCACAAATCCATAAAATACAGCCATTATGTGGCAGGAAGCAATTTGAGCTGCATCACTGGGTGACACTTCCAGTCCTAGCCTTTCTCCACCACACCTGTTGCAATTTGATTGGTTTGGCTTCAGCCGAATGTGTCTCCAGGTTCCAACTGTGCAGAACCACACTCAGTCTTGGTTTGTACCTCCTCTCCAATGATTTGTGGTAGCACATTTATGATTCTGACGTCAGCAGAATGCTGTCCGTGGATTAGCTCTTGGATTGATTGACAGAGGAAAGGTGTTATTTGTGCAAACTTCCTCCTGGAGAGAACCTTTTGGTCTTGAGAAAGGGAGAACTTGGCAAACACTTCTTGGAGACAGGTGAAGGA